GTTTTCACGAAACTTAAAAACTTAGTCTCTATTGTTATTAACAGATAAATCGTAACAACGACAGTCTTCTAATGATATGTGAGTCGATTTTTACCCGTCACTATTATAGCACGCGTAAATAACCAACTATATGAACGAGGTAGTTAAAATATAAAATCATACTTTTCACATTTCGGTGGGTTTCTATTATGTGGACAGAATTTAAATACACTTTCACAACTGGTAAATTTATGTTGTTCACTAGTGATTCACTGTAAATTCAGTAAAAAAAAATAGACTAACTATGAAGCTCAATAACATCCATTATTAAAATTCCAGTTAATGCTTATGTGTCAAGACAAAAATACTTTCTTCTATGTTAATAAATATTGAAAGCTGGTCTAAACTTAACTCATTTTTAGGTGATAACAATGCAGAAACTTCAGAAAAGTCAAATGATTAGACTGTCAAGATAGATTTGAATGTTCTTTAAAGAAAAAAACTTGTAGTTAATCAATGAAGTATTTGTTATTGAAATGAGAAATTCTTCTACTATTCTGAGTGAAGCATATAAGTAGAAATAGAAAAAACATACAAGTTTCCTTCATAAACGGTAAACGATGCAGAAGCTTTGTTTGTTTACAAAATGTGGTGAATAGTATGATTTGTTGACATAGCTCCAACTGTGAGTCCAAAATCCCGCCTTTATACGGAAAACAAGTAATTTAGATTACTTAAGGCTGTCTTGATAACAACATTTTACCCGTATTATCCTTCAAAACACTTTCTTTTTTCTACACATACTCTTTGAAAAGATTAGCAATCTTTGTCAACACTTTACATGTTACCATTTATGTTGTTCAGTGTAGTTGCATTTTCATGATGATTTCATCATAATTAATATCAGCATTGTTTTTGTTTTCAACAATTCAGAAACATGCAAGTTTTTTGTCATCATCAAGTAGGTTGTTATGCACTTTTCGGATTCTAACGTCATATTGAACTATTTTTGAAATTCCTATTATCATCACAGATACTTCAAAGCTGCCTTTTTTGTAACTTATAACCAATTTTATCAGTCCGTCTACCATACTGATTATTATTTTCTGTTTCCATATAAATTAAGTTTGTATCAGTGAATGCAGTAATAATCATCATGGTTAGTTGATTGACATGAGATCCTATAAATAAGTCCCCTCTTAGTTCACTCTTTTTAACAATGCGTACCTGAAGTCGTTACGAAACCCATGCTAGACGTCAGATTCGAAGACGATTCATAAGCTAATTAATTTAGAGAAGTTACCATTAAACTATTTGTTTATTACCAGGTGATATCAATGTAAATATGTTAAAACTACTGGTGGTTGATTAGTCTTCGACTACCTAACTAGGATAGATCTATTCTCCGTATTATATAAAAGGATATGTGTCTATCTGGTCTCAGTTTTGAGATATATTATAATGATTCGTTTCTACTGAAAAACGTGTCCATTGAATATCGACTTTTAAATCATATTATTAACAAGTGAAACCCACTAACTTATTGAATAATGACAACTTCTTCCGTAGACATATTCGGAAGAAGTTTGTATTAACTGAGAGACTGTATGATATAGAACAATACAAGACTTTCAATTTTCTATGCACACACTTTATCTGTAAGTATAAATAATTTCATATCAACCGACAATATTTTATTCTTTAATTGTAAGTAAAATATTGCAAAACTCAAATATATATGTAAACATTTACTTAGGTTTACAATACTATTGAATAAATTCTCACTGTATTCTACAACATGTTGCAATGGTTTTGTTGTTGGTTTGAAAATTCAGTTACAAACAAAATATACCTTAAGAAGAAATGAACTATATTTCAGTATGTCAGTAAAGGAACGGTATTAAATGGATGTATTTTCTGTTCTGTACTTCATTTTCCATTAGTTAGTGAGATAATTGTATTGACATATGTTTCTTTTTTGATTAGATTATTCACCTCATTTTCAATGAACTCGTTAAATTATAATAACATTTTTGGATAATCCAATTAACTGAACAATATGGAAAACTTGAAACATTTTATCAGTATAGGGTTGTGAAGATTATCAGGTTTTTGATTGGGATCATGAACCGATTGATGTTTGACCACCATTGAAAAGCTAGAAGCACTGAACGGCCGCTTCGTCCTATTGTGTGACTCCTTAGCAGTGCGCATCCACGATCCCGCTCGCGGGATTCAAACCCAGGGCCTTCGATCTGGCACGTGAATGCTTAACGTCTAGACCACTGGGCCGGCATCCAACGGTGTTAATGTCTAACTTCAATCAATCCACAATATTGCACAACCATCTTTCATTGTTCACGTTAGCGCGCGAGACTGAAGGCCCTGGGAACAGATCCTGCTAAGGAACCCTACAATAGGACGAAACGGCTGTCCAGTGCTTCCAGGTTTTCAATGGTGATATAACATCAATCGGTTCATGATCCCAATTAAAACGTTTTTTTCAATTTATCATATTTTTATACGTTTTGCGCCGTAAAGTTTTAAGCCAGAAATAATGTTTTTGACTTATCGGACATTATTAGTATGATTTACAATCTGTTCCATACAATGTTAAAGTAGACTATAGACTAGATGCTAAGTAAAGACGTTTAGAATTATAAACACTTTAAAACATAAGTAGTAAAATAGCCAGAATATAAAATTAACATGAGGTAGACATGTATATTTGAAGATCATGTTCACAGCCATATTGAATAGACGTGCAACCAGATGCCATATATTCTTTATTCGATTTTATGTTACATATAGAAGCAACCCAGTATCCAAGGAGTAAATTTCCACAGGACTGAAGAAATTATAATTGCATGTTATGAGTCAATTTAAACTGTTTTATCATTAAACCTTTTATTCATATTTTTCATATATATTGTTTACTCACTAACCTTAATGAAATACAGAAGACAACAATCCAGCTTAGATTATCAAAATTCGAATTGTATTACATAACATTAATTTAACTATGTATTGTCTCAAAATAGCTTGAAAGTAAACTTTTGACTGTCCACGTAGTTAAGGAAACCATTTCAAGTATGTACTTTATAGTCTTAATAGGCTTATTAATTTATTTATGCAGTAGGAGATATTTTCTCTGAAATCACCGATTTCTTCTCATTTCCTACGTTTTCTTAATTCAATATTGAATATACAATGTTTTATTTCATCCACTGTCAGTTTGTTGAAACAGATTTCTTCGAACTATTTCAGTCTAAACTATGTTTAGTATTCAACAAGTTTAGATGGTGGTTGGAGGTAGTCGACAAGAAACTCTGGACCAGGGTTTCGTGCTACTTGGCACTCGTCAGCAAGGTGTGCCTGTAATCTTGAGGGAACTGTTTCTCCCTGGAGGATTCGATCTCTTGTCACCCAGCTCTAACCACCATCTAATCTCACAATAGTGCACGCAATGTCAAGTCACCTAGGCTGGTGGCCACATTGCAACATGGTCGACAGCATTCGATCTGCACTACTAAGGACTTGACACGCATGATATTGATCGCCACCCAGTGATCAATCAATTGTGATTCAACGAGTTTATTATGTTTTGAGAAACTGATACCAACTAGCGAAAATCCATATAGCAACTAAAGTACTGATTGTATAATAACCTATTTTTCTTGAATATGAAAAATAATCGATGTTCCAACAAACAAAATTTTCTTAGATATTTTGATGAATGAAACCATTCAAAACAATAATATGTTAAACTGCTAATCTAGTAGCCACATTGTAACTCGGTCGATAGGATTCAATCTGCACTAAAAACGACTTGACATATAGGACATTGATCACCACCCAGTAATCAGTCAATTGTAAACTGCTGATCTATTGAACATTAATTTATTAAACTATAATCCTATAATATAAAAAAATATTTCTATTAAGATCAAAAGCCAATTTTAATGATGAGAAAACCGCTCCGCTATTTTTTTTTCAAAATTCAGTCTATGAATGTCTGTTGATTATATTAAAGTTCAACTTCAGTGTAATACTTTTGGTTACAAAGTGTTGTTAAGTATAGCCTTGATATTTTTTATAATTTTCGCCAGAGAATAACCAAATAAATAAATATTTATGTTACACATCAGAATGATTATAATTATTTAAAATAATCAGTGTATTTTATAAATTTTGACAAAGCAATAAGATCAACTCTGTCGATTCATTGCTTGATCAAGATCAGAATTATGTTTGTGTATCATTAATTTAATTGTCTTAACATTTATTTCTCTAGACTGTTTTCAGAAAATGTGGGAACAATATACGAATATTTTAGTTGAATGTATTAAACCTTCCAGAACCTTAATTCATATTCCATGAATACTGATATGAAATATAACAATTTGCATTACTCTATCAATCACATTCACATATACTTTTTAAATTAACCTGATTTCTTTCACATTTATTTAACGATTAATAAAGTTAAAGAAAGTTTTAAGAATCCTTTTATATATTAAAATAAACCTTTCCTAATATGAATACTAATTCACAACAGCTATATTAGATCTTATTTCGGTTATAATCCAATTCATTAAAAAATACCATTCGTTTGTTATAATTGTAAAAGTCAATAATAGCATAAAACTTTCAAAAGAAAAACGAAACAAAAACAAACAAAGAAACATGATAATCAAATAAGAGCATGAAGTATAATCTAACGTTTCATGCTTTTATTATGAGTTGAATCTCATTTCAATTATTCCCATCAATGTTCAATGAACAAACAAACTGTTACCATTATTGTCAGAAAGTCATATAAACATCATTATGAAAGCAGAATTCATGAATTTTTAAACATAAACTATTAGTCAAAACAAATAGAAGGAGAAAAATAAATAAATAACTAATAATACTAATATTAGTACTATATCTTATTTAGAACAAAAATTTCTTCTTTAATGGATGTTTTTTTTTAAAGAAGAAAAAGAAAACAACAACTTCTATCCATAAAGTATAAACTAATACTAAAAATAGTTTAATAAACAAACAAAAAGAAAAAAAAGAAAACGAAAAAAACAACAAGAAATATTACAACAATAATAATAATACTTTGATCATGTCAATTTGCTATAAGTAGAACTATTATCATCAATTCAATGTTTGTTGTAAACAATGTCGCATTACCTTTCATAGATGCTTTCATCTTTCTTTGAATATAACTTTTGTAAGATAAATAATAAAAGAAAAGTTATGCTTTTTTTAAAAAAAAATAGTTTTTTTATTTTTTGGTAAACAAAATTAATCTTGTTCCTTTTTTTGTATCGAAAAAAAACTCTCCTCTTCGTGTTTTTTTTGTGTGTGTTGTATTTAGTTACTGATTATGATTCATGTATTAAATGTGTCATGTCAGGTTGTGATGGATGTCTAACCATAAACATATAAATTGGTCCAACTTCATTAATCTGTGGTCCATGAATAGGATCGTAGTCGAAATATGTTGTATTTGTGGTCATTTCAGTTGGAGCAGATACGTAAGCTGAAGTATTCACTGTATTAATTGGTGTAACTACTAATGGTTTAATTTGAGATTCACGACTCATTGGCCTTTGAACAGGTGATCGATAAGAAAGTAATGGTGATCGAACTGGTGAATCGGTTGATAGTTGTATTGGTGATTCATTATGTAATTTTGGTGTAGCCCAACCATCGTTTAAACTATTTGATAATGAACGATTCAATAGATTTTTATTTGTAACTTCTGAACTGATTTGAGTATCAATGTATGACATAGATTGTGCCTTTAATGGAGAATCCACTGACGGCATATCATGTACCATGTTATCAGATTGTTTAGATGCATCATAAATTATTTCACATAAACGTTTAGTATCATTAGGATCTTTACATTTATATGTTTCACAGTAGCTTGAATATGGAAATTCAGATTTCACTGATAACATAAACATATCTGGGTATTCTTTACACATAAAAAAATGTTCTATATCTTTGTATGATACATGATCACGAAATAATGATTTAGCAACAAAATTTTTCTTTCGTAAAATAATTCGATCTTGTAAACATATAAAACGAACTTGATGGCTTGTACGTTTCTTCATATGTGAAATAAATAAATCACTTAGATTATTTCTTTCCTTTACTTCTATACTATTCACTAAAGTTCTATCAAGTGCACATACAATACATCGATAAATTACTTTTTGATTTGTTTTTCGATCATATTCTTCTTGATGAAGTGAACTATCCGATTTAGCAGTACGTAATGCTTGATTTTTATTTGAACGTCCAGATGGCATAATTATATAATTCAATAGTTAATTTGATTATATTTATGTTTATATATGTATGTATAATTCTATTTCTTTTTAGATGGATAAAAATCAGCCAAATGATAATTTATTATTGTGTACACTGAACTAGTATAACACAATATGTGAATAAAACAAAACAAGGTAAATGTGAAATAAGAATGTTCAGTTAGTTATTTTAATTTACTTTTTTATATGAGAACCGCATCGATTTTTGGTCATTTTTTTTTCTCTAGTGATATTTAATACAATAGTGTATGTGTGATGTAATTTAATCACGTTGGTTAGCTGAAAAAGACTGGACGGAAGACAGATACATAGTATATAAAAAAGAGTGATAGAGAAACATAGTGAGACACTTAGACTATCATCATATGGGGGTAGATAAATCACACTTATATTTACCGGCCATATTGATCACATACATGATAAGATATTAGATAGTTTTAATATATGTTTATATGTACACTAATAATGTAAAATATTTTATAAATGAAGTTGTTTTTTGATTGATTAAATTTAATGAACTTGTTAACAAGTCTAATTTCATGATGAATAAGAATTAACTGGCTCTGAGTGTTTAGTAATAAAGTATATCTATTAGTCTACGTATTACGTCGTAATTGGAATCGAAGATTAAATATGATAAATCATTGTTTAAAATATGTACTACATGGATGAACATCTTCATATTATCTGTAGGTATAATTTTTAGTCGATTCTGTATTTTGACTAGAGTAGCCATCTATGTTATGTGTTTTAACCTACCTTAGACTCGTCAGTATACATGATAACAGTGCTTGATTGGACGCCGTCCACAATGGTATAATACTCATCATTAAAAATGAAGTCGACTATGACTGGTTTGAATAAATAAATAGATTATATTGAAATAGTGGAGAAGATTTATAACTCAGTTAGAAGTTCTATCTGAAGTTTGTGCCGTTGATATCGTTCAGAACTACAATGAAAGCTCTACGACTGAACCATCCAGCTCAGAGAACAAAACTCCACAAAAATAGATTATACTCTGAGAATAATTATTTATTTTATTTATTATAAGAACAGAAATGATAGTGCATTCAGTAAAATTTGTTACCAAACTCTAGGGAACTACTACATGAATATCATATACGGGTAATCAGAACTTCAATATTCAAAATGATTTTCTGTTTTGAAGAATCTGCTCATTAATTAATTAAAAATTTTTGTGAAGAAATTACAATCAAAAGGTTTAAACAGATTCTAAAATTTTATCTCACTTTGATTATTCTCAAAGCTAACTAGCATTCCAAACCTTCTAATGCATTTCATATTTATTTGGTTCTGATGACAGTTATGAAGGTTAACAGCGTCTGTTTTATACCTCTTTACATTTATCAACAATGGAGTATGTATGGCAAACAAATAATTGATTTTTTTATTGAAAACTAATCTGTTTAACTTGAACCTACGTTGAAACATAAATTTTTCGAAGGTCGCGCACAAACTTGGCTGATAAATGACTTCTGACTATTATTAATTCCTAAGCATATGAATATTACTAGTTGCTATCTAGATTTACTGAAAACGTCACTTCTTAATTCATTATCTGTGTGTTAATACCAAAGTCATTTGTAAAATTATCTTGATGTTATTTATGTTAATATTGACTGGTTATCTTGTGCTATAATACCATTCTAAGTGACAAGAATCACCAATATTTCACATTCACTTAATTTATTATCATTAAGATAATCAAAAGCGTTTCCTTTTACAAATCCTTGATATGTCCATACTTGTACTAATACTTAAAGTGTTTGGCATACAAAACAATAAATTTAACACATCTACATCTTTGTAATAAAATAATTATTCATTAATATAACCGCTTATTAAATTCGTATTTATTATTTTCACAAGAAGGGCAAATCTTCCACAACCTACCTGTTTTTCGAAGACACCACCTTAGTTCTATAAGAAGTAAGAAGAAAATTAAATACTATTGAATTTTTATGAAAACATCATGTTAGATCACATTTTTATTGATCACAACGTTACTTAACCTAGTCAGGTCATTGAGTTTTATCATTCAAAAACCAATATTTTGATAGAATTCAGGTATCTTTTGTAGGATGTATGATTATTCGTTTCTTATGATGTTTCTAAATAACATGGAGTATTTTAATATCGTAAGTTATGACTAGATAAAGTACAGATTTTTGACATCATTCGGTGTGTACCTATGTATTATGATAACTATTATAATCATTTCATAAAACTTGAAAATTTGTTTCATAGAATACCTCAATAAGAAGTTAACAGATTAGAAGTAAACGGACTATAATTTTCTAGTATTCCCAAACTTTACAAAAGACTAGGTGGAATCATACTCCTAGAACACACTATTTATCTATGAGCTATGATACTTTTATGTATCACATATTCAAAAATGACGTATTCTTTGATCAGGCACTTAGCGGTACAATTATTGCACTATTATTAAAAGATTTTATAGATTGAAAGTGTTTTTCCCCTATAACTTTAACATTGTTAATAGTTGCAAATTAGAAACAAGATGATTCAACATGATAAAGTTGCAAGCAACGTTTTCTTTAAAATCATTAATTAAAAGCATAATCCAATGACTTTCCTGAACTAATAGAATCTTATAAATTTTTTCTAAAATCTCGATCAAAAACTTAATAATCTCCACAACCCCTATACTAGTATTCAACATGTGCTCATTAGTGACTAGCTTCGTGAGGGAATTCTCGGAGTTCTACTGAGAAGCCGTGATCAGTGAAGCTAATCCATGTCGGGTAGAGACAGGTGTCTACCTCAGTACAGTGGAATTTGGTCACGCAATTTCGTGGATTGGTTGATGTTAGACACTATCACCATTGGTTGCCGGCTCAGTGGTCCAGTGGGTTAAGCGTTCGCGCGTGAGACCGAAGGACTTGGGTTCGAATCCCGCGAGCGGGATCGTGGATGCGCACTGCTAAGGAGTCCCACAATAGGACGAAACGGCCATCGGTTGCTTCCAGGTTTCCAAAGGTGGTCTAACATCAATCGGTTCATGATCTCAAACAAAAACATAAATACCAAAATGAACGTTTAGAGAATATAAAAGAAAAACATGATGACGAGGAAATTAGACTATTTTGAAAATTCACTTGGTATTATTTGTTTGAATCTTCCCATTGATGTTTAAAACTGCAATTGATCAGGCATATGTCCAAACTGCGTTTAATGCTTCTATATAGCCTTAATTCACAAGCGATGGGGTTGAAGCGAACGTTACTGGATTCGAGTCCCATAGTGAACGTCAACTCTGAGATGCACGTACATCCATCCGACGAGTCCCGAATAGGACGAAACGAGCGTCCTGGATTCCATTGCTAGCCACTATCCATCTTTGCATATTTTGAAAGTTCTTTAGTTTTTAAATAAGAGTTAATATGATAATAAAATTAAATGAAATAAACTCCCTTATTTAAATTTTACTTCATAAGAATAGAACGTGATAGTATGTCAATATAAACAGACATGGATAGTGGCTAACACTGGAGTTCAAGATACGCAATTTGTTTTATTTTGAACTCATCAGCTAGATGTGATTGTACTTCAGAGTTGGTTTTCACACTGAGGCTTGAACTCAGTGCCGTCCGCCTCAAACGCCATCGTGTTAACTGCTTGGCTGCTGAGTACAGATAGACACTGGCTTGTGAAATATAAATAAATGATTGTATGTTACTCTGTGACTTCTCATTCTGTGACAACGTCCAAAAGATAGTTGAAACAAAATATTAATAGCAAAGGTAACATTAGTTAGACAGTTTACTTACGTCTATTTTCCATACATTTTAGGTCCCAACAAAATTATGTGAAATGTTTGTCACCTTGAACTACACCAGTTCATTTTGAAGAATATAATTAGAAAAACATCATTATCTGGAAAGTAAATATAAACACATGAATCAGATAAAGAAAGAACTTTAAGTAACAAAATATTCCCGTTAAACATTTTTTAGATTTCAGCGGTGTTATTAGAGTGTGCACTTCGTATGCAGACAGATATAAGTAGTAGGTAGCAAGAATAGAAAGTGGAATGTTTAACATCGACAAATTGAAATGAAAAAAAGTGGAAGGAAAACGAAGAGTAATCAAAACAACGACAGAATTAGAAGAATAATGGAGTATGTAAAGGGTAATTAAAGGAAGATGTGCAAATAATGTATTTATTGTGTGATTTTCATATCCTACAATGGCATTAGGCAGTTTTTTAATCGACAATAAGTTGGTTTACCGTATCTAAGTCTTCGTTCACCACTGTATCATCAATGAGATTTGGATACAGAAAGTATAAAGGCTATGAAAGAACAGCTTACTGAGGCCCCATGTTATAACTTGGCTTATATTCATAAAGAAGGTTGGCTGACTTCTCGTTCACCAGGAGAATTTGTCAACTTGTCTTCTCATGAACAACCAATTCCATTATTCACATAATCAGGCAAGCCTACTTATCAAACTTCTACTCAATGTGCTTTATGATAATTTAAAATGTGGATAATAACAATCAGAAGTTATGTATGTCAATTTGATAAACACTGAACAGTAAGTTGACTTAAATAAGGCATCCTAAATTGTTTTTCATATAATATTTACATTGTCATACCCTTTACATATAGGTTCATTACAATGAACTAAAGTGATATTTTGAATTTGAGTGAAATATCTATTATCATGTTCATAAAATAGTATTTTATTGTAGCCTAGTTATTTACTTAATTTAATCACGCTTAATGGATTAGAGCAATTGAGAAATGGTCACTTATCATAACTTCATATCACAATCAATACTTTCTTATATAACTTTTTTTCAATGGTTGAGACCATCAGTCAATTGAAACTAGATCATCATGGAAAATCCAAAAGCGCTGGACAGATGATTCATCCTATTGTGGGACTCCTCAACAATGGTGGTCTAGCTTCAATTGACTCATGATCTCAATTATTGAAATTGCTGAAATATCCACATAAAACCCCTTCTAATAACTATTCTTAACATTCATCTCTTCATTGTGAAAATAATATTCATTTATTTAACTAGACATTTTTATTT